GTACTCGTACCTTAAAGATAGCTTGTGCGAAGAGATTACGGAGAATGAAACACGAAATATGCTTGCAACAAACCCCATTTTTGCATGCATCATTCTAGTGACGCAAGCACATGCTGATTACTACTGAAAGTAAGCTGTAACGTAATACTTTTGAATTCATTCTTAGCATTTAGCCAATGAAAGTAAATTGGTTAGATAACAGGCTGTTGATCAAGCAAAAAAATACGTGAGAAAATAAAAATAACTTGACCGAAAACACAGCAGATATGAGACGTTTGACGCTTGAGGCCACATAACTACGGCCGCCAATGTAATCAAGTTCAAAAAAAGCAATCGTTCTTTAAAAATTGTAAATAACAAAAAAGACTGGTTTCCGTGATAACATTACGTTCTCCCATTAAAATTAGCCAAAACAGCATACGTAATAATTACACCTTTAAAGCAAATATTTCAATGAAATAACAGACGGAAAACCTTTAAATGTCTCTTGAGCAATGCAAATGCTTACCGCGATCATATGCTCCAGTAGCTGTAGTAGGTTCACCAGCACCGACGCCGGAAGAGGAAGATATGTTCATCTGTCCCACCGACGCATCCAGAGTGGACCCCACAACTGAGACCGAGGGACATTGGAGTCCAGCAGCCTCATCACCTTTCTCCTCTTCCCGTTTCCGGAGACATGCCTGCTTGGGATTCATGTTTCTCTCTGGTAGAAGATATGTAAACAGACGCGCAAATGTTAGGGTAAAAAGGATAGATTGAGCGAGTGGAGCATGAAAAGGTAGCTTAACGACCACAGTACCGCGAACTTGTTGCTCAAGCTTGGTGATGAGGGTGACGGCCTGTTGAAGAATGGTGAGTTTTGTCTGAGGTCGGTCATTTTTCAGATGGATCATGCACATGCGCCCAAGTTCACTGAAGGCATCGTTGATGTCGCGGACGCGCACTCTGCAAGGCAACAAATAACAACGAAGTACAGGCACATGCAGACATGCGTGCGCTCCCGTACGATCACAAGACATGCAAACCATATCTTCCTACTCCCGTGTTGCAACTCGAGAAAAAAACCACCTCTGACTTCGTGCTCAAGACCACTTATCACAGTGACGGCCTGCTGCAGAATCATCAGCTTCGTGAGAGGCTGAGAATTGCCCGTGTGCAGGTTAATCATTTGGCCCAACTCCTTGAAGGCATCATTGATCTCGCGAACTCGTAGACTACAGCCAAGAAACACTTATCATTCCTGAGGCCAAGTTGACCGAGCCTCAAAACAACCAAAATCAGGCAGCAGAAACAATTCCATCTGATATGCAAGCACTGGTTCCGCTTGCCGTCATTACAAGCGGTTCAAACCGATGATTGAGTCACTTTCGCGTATGCAAACTAGTAATGGTGTTAGCATTGAATGAATGCATAGATATTCAGTCATAAGGATGTACAAGAGATTGGTAACCAGCCCGAACTCTAAAGCTGAATGGCATTACAAATTTCATACCAAAACATCTTAAACACAGGAATGACGAATAACGCTTCGAACTTATCAAATTACTTTGGTGACGCGTACAAGGAGTTTCTGTCGACAAAATGTTGATTCAGCTTTTGGAAGTGGTCACAAATAATGACATTGAGTCACATCTGAGACGCCTTTAATAACTGAATCAATGGCTTTATCCACAAAGTTCTGCGACAGCAAATGAAAATGGTATAAAAGCTTGTCAGTCGATGTGTGAAAAGGCCTCACGTCTTTTTCCTCAACCTCAGGAAACGTGACCGTAATTCAAGGTTTTGAAAATTATTCTGGGCGAGGCCAAACAGTAACTGAGGTGATGAAGCAAGGTACGTGATGTCGCAAACGGTAATAATATCACTTCAAATTCGAGACTGATATTAGCGAACTGCAAATGACATCCAACGGTAAAAAAAGCCGACAAAGATAAACACATTTTCCTATTTGAATTTCAAAAGGTAATAGTCGAAAAACTGGGTCCTTCAATCTCAGATAATTGGCTACTCATCAGCAAAAAATATTCAAGGATTTCAGCCTGCAGCGAGTCAAATGCAATATCTTGCAAACACAAGAAAAGTCTGCGAACTTCAGCGTCATCGCTGCAAAGCGAAAAAGGAACCGTCTTTTGGATGCCAACTGAGAGATAGGTGGCCTTGCAGTTCTGCTTGAAAGCTATTCCCCTTGAAGGTTAGATATTGCAATTTCCTGAGGAGTAACCATCTACCAAATGCTACTGCTGTCACTCTTGAAAGATAAAGAGCACTGGCAAAGATACTTTTAGTTCATCCCACGACCTCCCGTCATCTACTCATGGTAGGTCCAAATATTAATGAAATTAAAAAAGAGACTTCTTAAAGACTTCCTCAGAAATTGGTTTAACATTCACGGTGGCTTCTTTAGTTCTTGCCAGTAGTTCTCGTTCATGAAGTACTAAAGGTATTTCACAGAGCGCCACTCCTTGGGACATCGTAAAATGTTTATCCCAGGGGTGGCGGCTCTCACAGAGAAGGCCAAGTTTCCTCAACGCTGAATCAATTTAATTTGAACTCTTAAATATCTCCTCATAATCCGGAAATTTTTTCCTCAAATGATGCAGAAAAATTATTGGAAGACATGAGTAGAACTAATAAATGACGTGGTAGAAGGGGCAAAGAAAGACGGCCAAAAATTGAGCCCTAAGCGTGACAAGACAGACATCTCAAACCGATGAAGCCACCAGCTTAGTAATTTGAAAAATGACCTCTAATTTTATCACCATATGCTAACGCTCAAATGGTACGTGGCTGACCTCAAAAACCAGGATGCCTCCAAGCAGTGTAAAGATGACAACCATTAGCAAATTAGTAACCCTGTGATTACAGAATGAATTACCAATCCACAAGTAAGTGTTTCGAACTGAGATGGTAAGCGTCACAATTACGACAATCAGCTGATTCCTTCAGAGTTTTGTTCTTGGGACTGAAGAGACCCGGAAAAATTGAACTCCGAGCTCCATGATTTAATAAATAAGCAAACGCAGTAAGTATATCCGTTCTCTGATGACCGTGATAACAAAGCATTTGAAAAGTCGAAAAGCTTAGCAGTTTTTGAAAAACAATTCAAATTCCTTTTTGCAATGATGCAGGAACACCGAACTCAATGCTGCACATTTTCGTCTGCGCTCCGCCGCTCCGGGCAAGAAATGACTTGCCAATGCTCCTTCTACCAATTTGCAGAACAAAGTCCAATTAAAATGATTAAATTTGGTCTTGAATGGGCGTTGGGGAGAACACTAACTAAACACGATCAAAGTTGAGATGTCAAGTGGCGGTTTAGGGCATATCAAAATCAACTAAAACCACAAATGAAAACCAATGAATTTCAATCATTTTTGTCAAAAGAAGATGAAAACCTCGCTTGTTGGGGAGTGTTGCCTTGTCACTAACACACCTAAAGTTAGATAGTGAAAACAGCTTCGAAAGATCAGTTATTTGGCAAAAGAGATACGAAATTGTTGTTCAGAGACAAACGTAAAAAATAGAACGAAGTCACTTTCCGTCACCAAAATATGACGGAGAGGTAGATAAATGGAGGAGCAGCAACAACATTATCATTGAAACAGCACCAAGTTAGGGAGAATGAACGCATCAAAGTGACAAAACTTGCAACCATGATCTCCGGACTCACCGTTCACGCGCGTTATTCGCCTGTCTTCGCGACTTCTCACGTTCTGCCTTTTGCTCTGGCGTCTCGTCTTCTCGACCATCGAGCGAGTTCGCTCCTTCGGAGTCTGTGCCGATGGAGGGTGGAGGAGGTGGCATATCCGCTCCGTAGGGTGTACTTGGCAGTGGGGTGGTATTGCGCCGCCTGCCGCCCCCACCACCACCACGCCTTCCACCCCGCGTGTTACCAGCATTATTTGGGTTTGAACGTGGTAGCATTGCCTCAAAGGCACCCACAGCCCCGCCTACTGCCGTGGACCCCACAACAGCCCGACTTGTGAGCGGAGAGTCAACCTTCTCCCCTGAAACGAAGAAGAGAATAGAATCGCAAAGTTAAACATTGCTGGAAAGGGGAACGAATTGATTGCTCACCCAGAGTTGCGGTGGGGGCCTCCAAGCCACCGAAAGCCACCATCGGAGGGTTCTAAAAATGCAATGCAGAAGGGCAGGCTGGTCGATTATCCACCGCGATTAATAAAATTCATCCAAGAGCATTTATTTAAGGGTAGTCGAAAAGCTTACAAGAATGAGAGGATTTGTGGGGTCGGAGAAATGCTGCGCATGATGGTGATATGCTATAGCGGCGGAGTGGGCGGGATGGCATTGTGGTGGAACTGAAAAAAAAAATTCAAAGACCAACCAATCGGTTGCGGGTACCCAACTATAAGTCATTTGATTGTCAGATACGAATTCGTGTATCACACTGATTTAACGGTTTATAAAGGATGCCGAGAAGAGCCAACAATAAATGGCAGACTTCCGACGACTTTGTTACAATTATTGAACTGGCACTCTACATGTGAACTTCCACGAGAGTGGCCGCCCCACTTCTTTGCATGTGTGAGCGGTCTCAGGTTAAATCAGCAATAAAACAGCACAAAATTTTATTGCCTCTTGAGATCCAGGAGGAGGAGAGAGGGGGAAAGGAGGAGGACAAACTGCGTGAGAAATCGGTGCCCAAATCACCAATAAAGCAGAAAATAACTCGCCTTAGCACCACATCAACATTGCTCCCTACACCAGCTATGGCAAACTAACCAGTAGGAGCGAGAGGGTTGCATATTCGTCCACTCTGAGGAGAGCCCTGAAACGGAAGGACTGAGGGAACTCGAGGATTGTAAGGATAGCCCGGTGCCAAGGCTTCGATACTACTGGGAGGATGGAATTCCTAAGATCAAAAAAAGATTAGCAGCAAACGTGCGATGAATGTCTCATGTATACCGATTTAAAACGTTTGTCAAACTGTGGCGTGTTTGAAACAATGACATCGAATTAATGGATTTCATGCAGGCACGCAGGGAGTGATTTAAGCGGTGCAAATTTGTAGGATCATTTTTAGTAATCCTAAAATGAAAAGCTATCATCTCATTTGCATACAAACTTCAATAATTTTGATTCAACACTAATTCAAGAATATCTTTGAAAACGCTTTACCACACTTATCAACCGTGCAACATGCGACAGCTTAGTTACCAGCCCAACGATAAGCTGCTACAGTGTCGTAAATATGCAAGACGAGCTTAAAAAAGTGGAACAAAGAAGATAATCAGAACTAAACTTTCTGAACCACAATTTTGAGAAGCAGTGGATATTTCTGCTATGTTAAGTTAAATGTACAAACAAATCACTAGTGGAATGAGAATACCGCAAACGCAGTAACAGCAAATTCTTACGAGGGAAACATTTTGAAGATCCACAAGGGGGTGAGGCGGGGACACGGCCTGTTGATTATGATGGTGATGGAGGTAGTTGGAGGAGGAAGAAGTGGTGTTAGCGCCAGTGGTGTCGGTCAGATTGGGAGAGTTATGTACATCTTGACCATGGTGAAGAACACCACCAAAACTTATATAGTGCTGTTGAAGTGGTTGAAGGTGATGCTGAGGAGGAGGATAGGAGACGGCAGAGTGAGGAGGAGGAGGAGGAGGAGGAGGAGGCGGTTCCACACCGAGGCCCAACGGCGTCGACCACGCCTCAGCCATGGACGGCGAAGGGGAAGCGGAGGTGGAGGAGGCAACAGTTTCGCCTTGAAAAAGGAACAGAAAAAGAGGAGCAGGTGAAAGAATGCAAACACCCACTAACTCCAATCCGATGATGAAGGTGATGATGATGGTCATTCTGGTTGTTTGTGCTGGTGCTCCCGTTGAGGGATAGCGGCGATGCACACGCGAATCGATTACAAGAACGGGCCTTCCGCGCCCATGTGTGCGGCGTGGGTGCGGATGTGCATCCGTCCACTCGGATTAGTCGTGATTGCGGACAGGTGGTGGTGGAAGGGAGTGGGGGAAGGAGAAGAGATACGATTGCCCAAATTCAGCCCATAATCAGAAGAGAGAAGAAAGATGTACGCAAAACGCACCCGAAACGATTGAGGCTGCTGCAGCAGCTGAAACAGATGCGCCGTAGTAGGAAGATTCTGTCTTCGTAGTAATGTTGGAAGCAGTGAGGGTAGTGTACTGCCGCGGTTCGGCATCCGAGACCTTTTCTGAAGAGACATTTGAAACTGTTGAAGAGGAAGAAGAAGGTGCCTTGATGGAAGCCCCTTCTATCGCCAATGCCTGGAGTGGTTGCTAAATAAAACAGGAATGAGCAGGAGAGCAAATAACAAACCACACAACCATTGGGTTAGCACCGATCATAAGCAGCAGCACAACCCCATTCATGGACACCGAAATTGAAGGTGTGTGCTACCTTCGTCATGCCCCTTGTTCGTCGGTTTGCAAGTGCACTGGAAAAGTTAGGTAAATCGAAGAGCAGCATCAGAAAGATGTGGATCGAGCACCGCAGACAGCGAAGACAACTTAGATAAATGATGACGAGACAAAGGAGGGGGAAATGAGTAATGAGGAAGAGAAGGGGGTGGGGAATTCCGACAACCAGAACAAAGGTGTGCGAAAATTGACAAGTCGCCATTATGTGCCCTCGTATGTATGTGCGTCGTACGTACGTGGGTCTGTGATATGTGAAAAAGTGAAAGTTGAACCGGCATGGAACAAAGAAGGCGAATGTGTATGAGGGGTGTTGATATGCGAGATTGCGCGACCTCATTAACTACCCAGACGGGCAGACAGACATGAGGGTGACGCCCAGTCCTCAAAAAAGAAGGGCAACATGGAAGCAAGAGAGGAATATGAAATGTGAGATCATGAATGATCAATCTGCTCAATTCGGACAATAACCGGAAAACCCAAGATACTTTCGTTAGCCTATAAGCTGGCAAGCGATACGCAATAAAGAGCACGGACGCCGTAGGGAAATACAGTTCCGAAGTAATATTTAGGCAAATGGGTAAAAAACATAGAAACATGTGATTGGAAGACGCTACGAAGCTAAAATTAAGCCAAAACCACCCAGTGACCAAGATCTATAAAAAATGTGCCAATGCAAATAAGGAATGGGTTTAAAGCAGCCACAGTATTTCAAGCCCCAATTGAATACTAGAAAAATGGGAGCAGAGGTGAATAGATAATCACTTCAAGCAAAAAAACTTTCAAACACCACTGAGAATAATGGAAATACAAGCATAAAAATGCGAGAATCAATGTCAAACAATGGGTCTACAGTTCTTGAATCGAAAAATACCAGGATGGTGATAATAATGACAACATCAACCAAAACAGTCAATTATCAATTGCCTAATATGTGAATCAAAGAAACACTGCTTGCCAATTATGAGGAAAACGCTTAAAAAATCTAGGCAAAGATCAAAATTAGATAAGCAAAAATAGGAAGTGTTAGTTTTGTACTGTAAAAAGTAAACCAACCAGCACGAGTAATCGGTACAAAAATCCAATAAAAAAATGATTGAAAGGCTCCAAATTCAACACGTGAGAATCATAATTGAAACGAGCACCGAAACGCCAAGCAAAGCTGTCGCACGATCTTCAGCTGAAATACCCGATCAATAAGCCCAGCGGCCGTCATCTCATCTCTCCCTCTGCCCCTCCCTTAACACACCCACCCACCATACAGCTACTGCTACTCATAAGAGGATACGGATGGGTGAGGGAGGGACGTCTAATAGTGACTCCGCCACCACTGCCATCCCGTCCAGAATGAAAACGTCCACTCGCAAGGAGGGGAGGGAATCTATGAGGACAGAGTAGGGGTGAGGCGATAAGGCCTCCGCCCCCCAACATCACCCCATCTTGGCCGAAAAACAGCTACGAAGACGGCTACTATAGCTGGCCAGATGGTCCGAGTTCCCAATACAGTCAATGGATACATACGCGCTTCACATACAATGTCGCGTAAGAAAACGGTTTGTTACTGAAATAATCCACAAACGAAACCAAAGGGGACTCAAGTGACTACTATATTGCCATTATCAATACCCTAGCTATTTCCATAGAAGCAAAAACTTACAGTAGTGGAAGAAGGTCCAGGTTGTGCAGAATTTGAGTAGCGCATTGTGTTATTGGTGATGTCTGTAATAGTGGAGGAGTAGGAAGCCATCAGTCGGCCATGTCACAATGTCAGAAGCAACGAAAATTGAAGTTACCTCTTAGGTTCCCATTAAACCAAGGAGATAGGGAGTCGCGGGGGTAGTAATCAGCCTCGATTAGAGAAATGTAGAGGTTAAACAGATTAAATAACCTGAGTATAAAGCGGAGATAGGGCGATAAAAAGCGTATTCGGTAAACTGGGTCACCTTTAGCCAAACGAAATACAAAGTACTTAAGAGTTAAAGAAAAATACAAAAAGAACGGCAGGAAACGCACCGGGCGCGAAGAAACATTCATATCTGTAATGAAAAGCACAAAAACAAGAATAGGAAGCAAACTGGCCAGATCAAATTGAACATGTTCCACACATTAAATAAGTGAAGAGGATTGCCGAGTAACGCGATGAAGATGGGCCGTATGAACTGAGTTGATAGAGAAGACACAACAATAAGAAAAAAGGTAGAGAATTCCGTCACGTATACGAAATCAGGGTTTTGATTTTAAAGATTTCACTATGCAAGTTAAGGTGAAAGCCATAAATATCATTGCACGAGATGCAAGTCAAGGGGTAGAAGGATAAGTCAAAGCTGACGACAAAAAACGCTGCGATCGATTTGTGTAAATCGGCTAGTGTCCAGGTGACTGTGTTTGAGTGGGTCATAGTGACAAGGAGATTTGAGAAGTGTCCGCATAATTCGCAAACTAACAAGGCGAAGTGTAACGCTTATTCACATAAAGGAAAAACTGCAAAGGTTCGAACAACGTTGGTACCCATCTTTAATAATCAATAAGACGCAACAACCTTCTATTGCGTTTGAGAGAACGTAGAAACCACAGAAAACATTCTTAAGCTATTCCAAATAAATAATAATTTCGTAAAACCTACCAGCGTTGGATGAAGGTAAAAAGATGAGAAAGGTCTCAAAGAACAATAACCCACCACGACTAACAGCATCGGGCGACAATGATTCGTTAACGGAGTAAGCTATTCCAGCTGACGATTGAGATGGAGGATTAAATGTATCGGTAGGACTGGGTGAGGACCCGCCCTGACCAGGTATCCAGGATCCTCCAGAAGGATGCATTCCATTCAACTTAAGATAGCCTGACCTATCGGAAAAAAGCGGCTCCATCAACAGACGCTCTTAAATCCACTTCAAGGAATCAAACGAACCGACAAAGCAAAGCGCACGTACAACAAGACGTTAGAAGTCAAAATCCATATCATTTCAATTCAAAAGAAAACTAGAATATGAGAGAAGACAGAGATGACTAGAGTGTCCTCGAAGGACAAATGCAATACTTGCAAGGATTACTGGGAGGCAGAAGGCAACAATGGGATCAATAAAGTTCGATTGTTGTGCTCTAGCCAATTAAGTAGTGTATGAATCCCCAAAAAGAGCTATGGGACCGAAACGGAGACGTAAAGTTGGATAAGGTACATAAGCTGGCAACACTTTAACCACCTAAGGCAAACTTTACATCAGTAAAGCAACCAAGACCAAACGCAGAACCAGCGAAAACGGCAATTTAAAGATTTGATTCACCGCCCAACCTTGAAACCGATGGTATATATAAAGAAATCTTATCTTATCATAAAATTTTACTCATTAAAAAATTCAAAAATCATGCAAATTTGCGTAATTTATCATATTTTAGTGCTTACGTTTACAAGTCGTTTATTTGAAGCATAAACTTTGAAACTCATAATCACATATCAATGGATTATAATAGTATTGCTTTAATCCTCATTATATGGAGCGAATTTGAAGTATAGAGAACAACACAGGGTATTAAAATAATTATCGCATGACACGAACCTTAGGTTCGCTATCATAAACAGTACAGTCGCCAAAATAACCGTAACATTTAGAGCCTTCCAAAATATGTTAGAAGGTATAGGGTTGGACCGTACGTTCGCAACCAGAAAGTATGGACCAGTTCATGCATCCACTAGCATGATTACTATCAAAGCAGCCACCAGTCACACTGGCAACCGAACAAAATATATTACGTTTTCCCTTCCTTTTTGGAAGAAACCTTTGCCGCTCTCCCCAACATCATCCCCGCGCCAACAATCACAATGTGCCTAGAGCTGTAAGACTTCCCCTTGGGCAGCTGCGCTAGCCATTTGCACCTTGGAACCAAGGAAGCCTCGACTGGATTCTCAGTCAAGATTGATAACAAAATCCCCATTTATGTGGGGTAATTTCACTGGTAATCAGGTGGGTTTAGAAGAAAGTAGTAAAGCATTGGCCTTAAAAAGTTTGGCAATAAGGAAACGGGATCGAACACTGTATCGAAAGTGGTTCAGAGAGTTATTTTAAAGCTTTTAGAAATTCTCCCTGTAATGCCTTGTTTATGTGACTACCTGACGTTGGGCGGTCACTTTAGAATTTGTCGGGCCACGCTCAGGTCCCATTCGCTCTCTCGTCTTGAGAATACATGTATATAACTGCACTTACTGACTTCTTATAGCGGTTAGGAGGTCTCAAGACGCTACAATCCCAACTACAAAACATGCTCTCCTTCTGCATCAACGAATTTTTCCCAAATGGTAAAACCAGTTTTGAAGTGTAACGTCTTGAGGCTACTCACTAAGTGAGAAAAGTCTCTAGATGGACCTGAGTACCTGTATTCAGAAATAATAGCAAGATGTTAGGCTTCAGCTTGGCCCATAGGCCAAGACGAAATACCAAAGTAACCGTCAGTCATAGAGGCGATCTTATAAGCAAGACCTGATGGTGAAAGCCACAGCATCGGTTGTCAAACAAGGCACTGAAATCAGTTGTAGGATCTCGAGTTATTTCCAGGTAGGAGAAGGCGTCACTTTGGGCAAAATACATGTAATGTAAGAGGAGAAGAGGAGGAAGAGATAGGGTCTTGCCATGGTGGCATAAACAAAGCATTTCATTAGGCTTTTATGCGAAATGGGTACTCTGGGACAAATAGTGGGATTTCGAGTGCACAATAGTCTATGTATGATATCCTTCAGCTGATCATTACCAGGTTCTTTGACGTGGGTGCATTAATTGATAGTGTTAGAATACAGCCTCGACAAATTCTTTTATATGAATGTGGCCTTGGCATCACTATCGCAGGACTTCATTGGCCACTTTATTAACTACAAAGTGGCACAATACGTGAAATAGAGCACATGGAGAGAGCTAATATTTGTTCTGAGGCCTCGCCAGTCTCTTCTAGCAGAGCGTTTGAACTTATTTTTCGCCAATGACCCTCAGTGCACGCTTGGAGCACTTCATGTGCATTGTTTAGTATTTGGGTTTAAAAAGCATGCTTTATCAAACGAGAAGATGATTAGTCTTTTGCCATGGTTCGAGGGCCAACACAATCGCCAGAGGCAAGCGTGGTAATTGCGGGTAAAACAAGGTAATTAAAATTAAATAGGTCTTCCGTCACGAAATACTTCATGCTTCCTTTGTTGTTTTGAAGGAGATTGTGCTGGAAAATGCTTTCATGGATTCCTTTTGATAAAAGATTGTTAGGAGTAATTAATGAAACAAAACAAGAAAATAAGTCCCCACCCCATGCATGATTTTCCTGAATTCCAAAATTTAAAGTTATTACACTTCCACTTGTAACCACATTCAAGTCAAGCGTTCTATTGTGCAGCAGTTATTGCGTATCGAATTAGGGGGTGTTTCCTCACGCATCTGGCATATGGTAACCTTGGAGCGGACTACAACCACGAGGCCCCGAGCTCAGTAGAACATCCAAAACACTAATTGCTAAACGGACAGACCCATCCGCATGCATTTAGTCATATCTAATGCCCTCTACTATCAACTGGAATATCTTAAGACGTTGCTGTCCGGTACTAAATTGCCGGGAAAATTTTGACAGCCATCTCGACTGTGCGTGTTATCTGTATATTTTGTAAAGGTACGCTCGAAGGCGTGAAAATTTTCACAATTACGAGGCATGGTACTCTGACTAGCAATACATGTTTTCCAACAGAAGGGAAGCAGATTGGGGTATCAGCATGCCCAAAGGCAAACCCATCCATCTGTGACAGTTCAGTGTAATGCTTTGTCTATGTGACTACCTGGTGTTTGGTGGTCACTTTGGGATTGCCTGGCCTTTTTACTCGTGGGATGGTTCAAGCTCAGGCTCAATACCGTTGCTCTCCTTAGAATACGTGTACTTAGCTCCACTCAATACCTTCTTTTGCTTAGTGGAAACTCTTAGGGCATCGCGAAAGAGATAGCACAATGCCAGTACAACAATCAAATGTATCCGTGTTTTCTGACTTATTTTATAAAGCACAAGATAAGGTAACTCGATTTTTCAAGGAAATCCATCACGTAAAAGCTAATGAGTATTTGCAGTATTTACCTTGCACTTTTTACTGTTTATGACTGCGTCTAAGTCCTTTCGTAAATTATTTCTTTTCAAATGGATCAAGTGAATGCCGCTAAACAACAAAGAGTCCATGGCGTCGATATGCAATCACAACCACAGCTACTCAGTGCAGTTCGTGCCCATTGACGCTGTCGTATCCTAATGTCAGAAAAAGCGGTTCTGTTCGGAATTAATTTGGTCTTCAATTTGGCTTTTGCATCACTCTACATCCAATTGCCAGGTTAGAAATGTCGTATAGCCCCATTTTAGCACAGGAATTATCGGGGATGAGGGTGTTGCTCCTGTCAGAATGTTGGATCTATCCATACCGAACACGTTTGAGGATTTCTTAGCAGGCATTCCATCTATTATCAGATTTCATGAAAATTTTCATCTAAGCGAATATCATACAGCTGAATTTCTTGTCATTGTTGGGCTCACCCTCTCATTCCTTTCGATGGCAGTACCCCGGCTACTTGGTACACTTTCACTGCTAATTCAATGGATAGCATTCGTTTCCGTTGCTAAGGTGGCAGGATTAATTGATTATTAGCTGCTAGGTCTGCCCTGGTGTAGCCGATTGGAAGTGGACATCGCTCTTGATTGAAGCTGGTTTCCTCTGTTTTCTGCTTTCAATTAAGCTGCGGAGATATTCACATTCCTCCTCCACGATTGTTGTGTGGTTGCTGAAGTGGCTTCTCTTTAGAGAAGCTGTCTCTACAGGATTCTCTAGATTATCAAGTGATAACTACTTCTGGTACGATCTTTCTGCTATGGAGCACTATTTCTCCATGCAGGTGAGTTGATACATTTGATTATTTACTGACCTCATCCGTACTAATATGCATTTCATAACTTTTGTGCTATCGATTTCAGATTTCTCCAACACCACCGGCTTACTATCTCAGTTTGGCTCCCCGTTGGTTTATTCGCATCGTCTCAGCGGCCTTTATCGCTATGGAAATATTCTTGCCTTTTCTCTTCTTGATTCCCGTTCGGGAACTGCAGATGTTCTCATTCTTTGCGAATGTGCGTGTTTCATTGTTATAACATAGATACATATTCGGAGTTTTTTGAATTCAAGGCAAAAATCCACGCTGTCGTACTTCATGATTTTGGTACTAATTACTGGAAATTTTTACTCTACAGGATTTCATATCAGCTTAGTTTTGAGAACACCTATTTTATTGAGTTCATAGTGTTTCCATCTTTTGTGTTGACGATGGCATTGCGTGCCAAAAAGTTTTTGATATTAAATTATTCGCAATAATTTATGTTGGGTTTAATTGATGATAGTTGGGACGATCATATGCTGTTATTGCATGATAGTCTCCACTGCGTATTCTTTCAAGGTGATAAATTATAATGGCGCACAATCTTTGCTTTACAGTTCATGTTCCATGCCAACTTAATGCTCACGGGTAACTACGGTATCTACAATCTCCTCTCTATCGTTATCAGCCTCGCTCTTCTTCCGGAGCCCAAAAGAAAATACAGTATGCTTTATTAATTTCCGCCACCTAGCTCGTGCGTGAAAATAGCACATTTTTTCGTTCCGCTTGTAAACTACTTTAATAATTTTCAGAAAAGTCGTCAGCCTTTCAAAGATTCATCTCAATTACAACGACGGTGGCTGTGCTTGCGGTTCTTTTCTATGGCGTGTGGGTGTTCTTCGATTTGTCGGAGGGTGTCGAGGCCATGCGAATCGGTACGTATGAACATGCACACTTATGTGTGTGCTTCTGTATGCAGTCATTAAAATGTGCGGAGACAGCTTGGCGTGCCATCTCATGACGATCTCAATCGCAATCCTGTCTGCCTAATCTCGTTCAGTCGTATCGATTCGCCCGCTGTTTCTGTGCTTGTACGGGCCTTCTTTGTTCGCTATCCTAACTTATGCATTCGTCTTGGCGTTTCTAGCCCACAAGCTACTCTAGTCTCTGACTTATGCTTGTTGCCTGCTCGGGTAATATATCTAACTCAATTATAAGTGCTTGAAAAATGTCCAACAACAAAGGAATAGACGCATTAGAGGAGGCAAGATATGCACTCTGATATCATCTCCTCATCAGAGGAGTATTTCGTTCTCATTTCGCGTTTCTGAATAAATGCGTGAGCATAGTTCAAAAATTGCGCCTGTTGATCGTGTCTCTGGCTGCTCTGCCACGTTTGTTTCACATGCTTTGAAAACCACACATAAATGTTTTTTAGATTAGGTAACTTGAGTTTTGCTTTTAGCCTACAAAAATTTACGCTTTCAAAATTTTGAGCCGTTTCATATAATTTATAGCAACAAAAAGAAAAAGGACTGTCTACGTTGTGAAAACCTAACTGCCAGTTCAGAAGCTAAAATTAAGAGTCGATATGTAAATTTCAATACCTCGAATAATGCATTACTTGTTTGGGTCAGGCTTAACTCACGAAGATTTTATCAAGCCTTGATTAGAGAGGGCTCAGTGACCTCTGCACTTCGCAGATGTGTGTCGGTATTCCACGAATTATCATTCCACGTTTTAATTTTGGTCTTGAAACTGATCCACGCTAGGTCGCTATTTTTGTTGAAACTACTATTGCAGTCCTGTCTTTTTAGCGCTTTCACATAAAGAATTCATTGCTCAGGCAAAGGTGGTGAATTATTACGTCGTTATTATCGCATGTGCCCTCTTCGTTGTGAGCCTTCTTGTAGCATTGAGCAGGCAAGTGATTGAATGCTTCAAGGTCATCTGACTTTTTGATGATAAGACCGCTTATTTTAGTGTTTGTTCGCAGATCCTTGTCTACGAGAGGTCCAATGAACAAAGTGCTGGACTTCACCGGCGTGGTTTTAGTCGGACTACTGGGTGGTGGTCTTTTTGCTGCATCACTGGTATCTTTCAGTTTTGTTCATTTACATCTTATTCTTGATCGTTTGTTCCTTAAAATGGCGTCCTTGTATCTGAAAGGAAGCGAGGATCTAGACTTTGTACTGATGTTTTACTGGTAAGGCAGCAGCGTCCGTCTTGGAATCTATCGATTTTGACAGATTTCAATGATGGTGATGCGGATCTAGTGGAGGAAGGCTTATTAGTCGCATGATCAGTACTTTGTCGCTATTGTGGTGGACAGGTTGCAGGAATCTGAAATAATTTGAAATGCGATTCCCTCTTTAGCAACGTATTTATTTTTCGTCTTTATTGGTCCTCATCACATGGGGTGATCTAGAATGCATTATTTTGATTTGGAGCTAGAATCTGTGCCATTCGCTTTGGCGCGTATGAGCATCAGAGTAAGGAAAATGGGTTATATTTGTCGAATTTTTCTTCTCAGGTGCCATTCTCGACTCTGGTTGATCTTAGCGGATCTGTGCCTCTGCCGAGGTTCGCATCTGAACTTACTGCCGCGCTGAAGCCCTTTCACCTTGCCAATGATTATCGTTTCTTTCACCAGTGAGCTCGCCTTTCTAACTCCCTCCGTTATTCTATGTTTGCAGCTTCTTTTTTACCTTCACGAACATGAATTCGCTTTCTTATCTAGGAAGGAGAAGGATGCGCTTTTGAAGGTGGACCGACAGCGTACCACACTGGTTCTAGAGGGTGCAATGAATGAGAATGGACCCTGGAAAGAACTCTCTTTCCGCCATATACCTAGCATTCCTGAGAAGATGCCGTCAATCATTCGTATGCTTAACTTTTTTCGTTCGTGAAATTTGCACCCTACCTGTCGTTTTCCAAGTGTTTGATAAGCATTCCAAGTATTTCAATGAGTCAGATTGCATTATGGAAGGTCGATAGTTACTGAATTGCAGGCTTATGTTTAAACAGAACAGCGAGCTCTAATATTTATGATATCTGCTCTTTTGCATCGGCTTCAACCGACTATTGAGCTTTTAGTTGCATATTTAGGGTAGCTTAAATATTGTCAATAAGTACTTGTAAGCTTGTCGGTATGCAAAGGATATTAGAAAGTAACGCATCAAAAGTTGAAAGTCGAATTCCGTTTACGAATTTGGTGCCTTGAGGTCGAACTTTTCTTACTACGTTGCCATTGTTTTGCGTGTACTGATACGCATTTCAGCCGGACATTTGCCTGTGGTCGACTTTGAGGTAGCAGTGAGTGGCGAAAGGCCCTTTGAGAAGTCCCCAACTATTGCAAGCCTTGTCTATCGAATTCTCACCAACGAAAAGGAGGGTAAGTTCTCATTGTTAGTTAAGGTAGTATTCAATCATGTCAAAAAGCTGTCGACGCATCACTTGGATCTACGCTGGCAAGCCATTCTGTTGTCTATGGTGTACTCGTTTTTGAATGCTAAGGTGTTCCATTGAATTGTGGTTGATAGTCCTAGTATTTTGTTCATGAGTGGCGTTTACAAGCGTCTACTTTAAATGGTGTTGACAACTCCATCATGATTGCAATCACAAGATCAGCCAGGTTTCGCAAACTTTTCTTCGTCACATGAATCAAATTTATCCCCTCTTTTCAAATGTGCGAAAAGCTCCCTCCTGTCCAAGGTGAGTTTTGAGACATGCCTCCTTCAGTCGCGTTATGTTGCGTTGCGTTTTTGGTCGATTTACCTTTTTGGCGGCGATGATATGCTGCTTATTCCAAGACATTTGCTTTTTTCCTCAGTTATTGCACTTCTTGAAGCCTCTGGATTCCCAATTGGCCCTAAATTTGTCCAAATCAAAAGCTACACCTACCAAATAAGTCGCTCTGTTGGAGGGTAAGTTTCACCTAGTTTTCGTGCTAGAATGCGCTAGTTACAGTATTTAATGTTACGTGATGGCTTCGACCCTTACCAAATGTCACCATCATCGATAAAATTATTCGAATTCTTTAACGTTCATGATGCTTGCTTAGGATTTCGGTTGACAGTTTCCTAATCCAAGGGATTATTTTTGAACCGTTAAAATGTTCTTTCATTTGTTTGGCATTGGCGTAGTCCATGTTATTGGAATAGTTTGAGCAGATTATGCATCTTATTTTGCCTTCCGACTCCAGAAGGTGCATTAAGTAGTCACCGTGCGTTATCTAGCCATTTCTTTGCCTTTTAGGCAGCAGTGGTGGAAACGCAGATTGCAGAATATTTACCTTCCACCTACTCAGGCCTCGACTTTACGTCTGACCCAGCTGATGACTAAGATTGGGATTGTTGGCAAACGGGTAGGGATGTTCTCTATCTATCCTTATTGATAGTAATTCCCGTTCATTTTTACTTTCCAAAGAGCATATCTTAAAAAGGACACGAGTTAGTTTTTTCGGTAATGTTGCCTGGTGGCTCTCATTAATAATATCTGCGTTTCCTTTTTTATGGTTGATTGCACACGAATTCGAGAATTGGGTTTGAAGTATAGGTGAAAGTTCAAGGAGCTGATTGTGTGCCACTAATTTGACTCCACTTCACGTATATGGCGGTCAAATTGAAGGAGGCTAGATCAATACCCTTGAAGTACTCATCGCTCCCAGAACCTTTGCTAAGCATTGTCTCTGTTCCATAGCGGAAACGTCCGATGGATGCCAACTTCGTATCGTTAATGCTGGACAAGGTTCGAGCGATGATGGGTCAACCCTCGAATCTGAACGGCTTTTATGCTGTCCTCGTAACGGTCTTATTGGTGAACAAATTTTTATAGTTGCATCCTTCTCCATCCTTTGTGTACCAATGACGGCTTTTTCTACGCTTTTCGCTTGGATGGAGGAGTGATTGTACCAGTTTAGTTTTCTGATCGATGAGGTACTGTGGAAAATAAATTTGCTGTCTCAATGCCCCTTTTGCGTGCCTCAAGTTTTCAGAATTCTAGTAAATGTGAACATAGCCTGGAGATTTCGTTATTCCCTTAAATGATTTTGAGAAAAACGTTCCAATTTGGGAAAGTCTATTTCCATTGGAGGCAGATTGGTGCCGGTGTGGTTGGAGTTGAGGTCAGAGTTTACTGGTGGTCGAGCCAGGCAGCTCAGCAAAGTTTTGCTCATTTTGAGTCACTTGACCGGGGCGAACTGGATTCTCGTCATCTGCAGGGAAGAGCGTTGCATTCCCGCTTCAGCGATTGCACATCATTAATACTTGGTCAAGTTCGTTGCCGGTGTTTGCTTTACTTTTGTTGCGAACGTGTTGCTCGACTGTTGCTTGACTGACTTGTCTGGGCATTATTGAGATTGAAGGAAACCCAAAACTACTATTTCCAACTCTGACAATACCTCAGCTGCACGGCCATGTTTAAGAATGTGTGACGAATTAATTGATTGAATCATCGAAGTAATGCATTTTGAGCTTTATTAATCCCTTAACTTTTACTGATATGATTGAATTAATCTCCATTGGTCAGTTGAGCTGTTAATTTTTGCTCATTCGATAAAAGAACTCGAGTGCTTGACCATCAACTACTTTAGTGGGATCACTTTAGTTTGTCGAGACCTCAAATGAAGTGGGTGAAAAGCGGTAAGCATCATTACCACACGGTTTTTTGGTGAATAGGGATGAAGTGAGCCATCCGTAGGGGGCTCAGCCTCAGCTCTAGAACACCAGAAAGCAAAGTAACCATTGGTGGACTTGCAAACATTTGCAAAGATTTTGCATTTCAAAACCTTCCCACCGACGCCTGAAGAATGGTCAGGCTGATCAACCTAAGCTACTCGCACACCAAAGCCGACTATACATTGGCAGCACTAATTGTACGGCTTAAACTGACGTTACAACTAGGAGTTGACACTCAGAAACATTCCTATTTTATGCATGCGTCATTCACATGGTAAATCACTCATCCAAGCCATAGCAGCACCATAAGCGAGATTTGTTGGTAAACCATCGTTCACACTGAACACCAAAAAGGCTCGAAAGTCAGGTTATTTTCTGGGGTTTCCAAGCTAATTGGACAATGCATCCGAAGGACTTTCAAAAGCAGAAAAATGCACGCTATAAAAAAGGTAAATTGATGGCCAAGTAACATAATAATTAGAACAGAAAATCACTCCTTAAATTGAATACCAGGGTGGGGCCATGTATGCATCGATGATGACTGTTTAAGAATTCCATGTAGTCTGCGCACACTAATATATGCAACAATAATGGCTTTCTATAGAAGCAACCCATAATTTGGATGCAGCATTGATGCAATTCCATCAAAATTTATGACTTGACGACCAATGAAAGCATCAAATACCTACTTGCACTTCCAACAACACGATCCAAGACGACCCGACATATCAAATGATTGAAGGCGATAAACTCTTGATATACTAAAACTAAATCAGTAGAAAAGTCGAAAAGTGGCCACAAAAGGCTCTTTTCATATCAGCACTAATAATGGTATCATTGATAGGACCATCAGTAACATCATTTGGTGTGATATATGTACAACTGCCACAAATTTGGAGTTAAAACCGAAGCTGCATTCACCGATAAATTCAACGATCGGATGCGGGGAGGGTGATGACACTGCAAAAGAAAAAAGGAAGTACTAGCCAGGTTGCGCTGACTGCGATGCGAGAACTTTTGAACTCTTGAAAAAGCCGCATGGAAGAAGCAACGTACTTTGAGTATGGAAAGTGCACGATAACTAGGAGAAAGGGAATAATGAACGCAAAAAAATCAATCAATCGAGGATTCAGATGTCATTTGTTTCTGCAGATGTAATAGTCTGAGCAATTTAACATTTAACCCGCAGATATAAGTCTCAACAGCTGCACCATGCGTGCCTATGGCATTTATTACAGTGCTCCTGATCTTAGCAGCCGAATGTGTTGCAGTTTTGCAGTTAATCTTTCACGTGTTACAGAATAACATTGCTTCAGCTATCTAAGGGCTATCCAGGTTCAGCACAAATAAAACTTAAAAGCATGATTACTAAAAGTAGATTAATGTGAAAAGGAAGAGAGTACTATTGCAACCCGTATTTGGTTTGGCAAAAACAAGAGTAAACATGAAATCTAGACAAAGGTCACATACCATCGAGAGAGAAAGCAAAAACATTTCATAGTACGGAGAGTGAAAAAAACAAAGAATTCACGCTGCAGCGCCTAAGCAACCAAGTAATTTTAACATTGGGTGGTAAGAAAAGTGCGGTAAAGGTCTCCCTAAGATTACTACTTCTGGAAAAGGTAGCGAAGATTGCATAAGACAAATAATTCAGATACAAAAGTCTATAGCCTTTTTAATCGTCTTGGAGCATAAAAAAGCTAACGAAAATACCTATTTTAGACTAAGTATACGTTCCAGCTTTTCCAAAGATCTAAACAAGAAAAAGCGACCTGGAATGATAACCGTTAGTCTGTAGACAACTCTACCTCCCTCCTCGTCCGTACCTACGTGGAGCATAGTGAAATGGGAAGGGGTTCACGGACGCCAAAGTGTAAAACAGCCTCCACTCTCTTCTAAAAATCGGTGCGTATGTGAGTGGATGGAAGCTATGAATTTTGGCCTTGAGAGCAAGTTTGCCAACCAACCCGCGGATCTTTGAAGTCGAGCCAGATCACCAAAAAAGAAGGAAAGGAGGAAAGGTTTGGTAGAATGTGAGTAAGCCAGATGAGATGGCTGCTAGGCTGACCCCAACCATTTAGCGCAACAAAACGCAATGAAAAAAATAAGATGAGTAGTCATATCAACGTCAGTATTCGAGCAAAGCCTTTGAAAACGCTTATTTAAGCAAAAGAACTTTTCCAAAACCACTTCATGAAATTGCTAACGGGAAAAAATATCCACGAATCCAGTAAAGCCATCGATTCGAGATCGACAAGGATACTGACCTTACATGAGCGCGCATACGAATCAGCTGACAAAGTTGAGAAATGCCATACGTAAGCCAGGCCAAAGCTTAAAGCATTATAGATGATTGAACATTGTGTTTTGGTTTGATTTATCTTGGAAAAGCGCAAACGATTATTGAACTTTGTGGAAAACTTCGTACAAGTCCAATTGTGGTTGACTCAAGAGGATGCTGAAAGCGTGTAGAGACTGAGCATTAAAAATACATGTGACCAGAGCTCAAGATGAGATGACGGATAGCAACAACCACGGCCGCGAGTGGTAATCTGAATGACTCCTGATCGATAGCCGGCCAAAACTTAACATTGCGCTCAGTACGTCAGTTAATGCTTCCCAGCTATTTGCGATCCACCATTTGCTAGGATAAAATGCAATTGTAATAAAAAAGTAACGAACCCTAGCGAGACTATCCATTTTCTGTTACTAGTTGCGAATGCCTCTGGAAGCCTGTCGTAAAGATAAGAGAACCGGCGCACGGTACGTCGGCAAAATGATAACGCAAATTGCTGACAAGGGCGGATGAGAGAAATTAGAATGGACGAGAGCCAGCAATTTAGACCATGCATGTGATAAACCGTTTCTATAGCTTTAGCTGTAGAAATAGATGCAACCAAAAGCTAGGAGTCTAAAATGACAACTCTGGTTCAGTATACAGCATTCACCTGCTTCTCACATCGTAAGGAGGCAAACGGCGAAATACCACCCCTCATGGCATGCTCAAACGCGTTAACAAATATTTAACTAACTTCCTCTAAGTTATGGAGACCAGACAACGAGAGCGGATGAAGGTGGTGCTCTGGGAGCGTGCTCTTTGAACAATGGAAGACCTTTTAAGGGACATTCGACAGCACACACCGCATTCTTCCTCGAAAGCCAAATGAAGATGACTGGAACTTAAAGGTGTCCATCTAAAAATGTTGGACAAATTGGATGAAAACCGAGAATGTGGGTGTGAAAGAGAAATAAATGGGATAGCAAAAGATTTCACGATCATAGAAACCCTTCAAAAATGGTGCCATTGTTAAGGGAAATTCTCCAAAACAACATAAATGTGATAATTTTAAGCACCATTACTTTATCTCCTGACTTGCAAATCGACAATTGCGTAAGATTTACCCTTTCTCGAATAACACGAGATTTTTTAAAAAAATGCGATTCCTAACTAAAAATATAAGGATGAAAACTTAGGAACCTCCAACATTGCCCCACTTCTTGACTTCGAAGAGACCTAAACAATAAAAATGACGAAATAGCCCTCAAGACCTACATTGCTGCCTGGAAGTGCTCCGCCTTTTAGGCATCAGAGGGTGGCATTTTGCCAGTGCTGGATTGTTCTGGAGAATATTAGTCCAAAACATGCATAAACCAGAGGTAGCAAGTTCAAACTATGATAAAAGATGAGTGAAACACAGAAAAACAAGTCTAAAAAGCGGAACAAAGCAGTTTCGATGCGGAGGAAGGATGTTAGTATGTCAAATACGACAGAGGTTCGTGAAGAGGAAAATACGAATGAAAGACAATCGCTTACGTTTGAGATTTGGAACAGGAAGAGGAAGAGGTGGATTGACAAATGCAGGAAAGTAGACGGAAAAGTGTGGGGATGATGCCAATGCCGACGATTGGCATTAGAGAGTCGTATGTTGGCGTCGCAGTTGCAAAACTTGCTGCAAAAACTACAAACAGTAAAAAAAAGGATGCAAGTGTCAAGGAGATTTGGTTAAAAATAAATCGTTTAAAAACGGAAGAGTTGAACAAATCAGGAGTGTGGAAGCCCAGAAACAAAAACCCAAAGGCGATGAAATCGTTCACGTGATTATCAACTAAAAAAGGATGATCTTGTAACGTTCACCAAAACACCAAGATGATGAGCGAAAGGCACGTTTTGTTCAGTGACTATCCTAACGTTTGACCGGCTTCTGGAAGCCTGTGACCGCCTGCGGTGCTATTCGTAGTATCTTTAAACAAAAGATCTGGCAAGCAATTGCGACAACAACATGGATGAGTAGAAGGGAGGGACGCGAAACGTTCTGTAGTTAACTTGTTCGAGAGATAGCATCGTCAGTCGATTTTGATTTTGACAACAACTTAGCCATTAAGTAACTGAGTTAATTGAAAGTGAATTTCCAGAATACAAATAGGTATTGTTCCAATAAAAAGAATAGATAAAAACTACAGGAACAAGTCGTGCCATCGACGCGTAAGCTTTTCTAGTAGAACGATAAGGTAGGTGGGAGCTTAAGATGGTATTTAAAACCAAGTTATGTATCGATTGAACTGTCTTGACACCAATGCCACCAAAAGAAAGATCCCTAGTAGGAAATAGAATAGAATAGAAATACATACATAAATGATCATGGCGGAACCTCCGCTGACAATGGGCTGGGGTAGGTCTCGAAGAGGACAATTTTCAACGCTGAGAATGGTCAGCAGTGGGCACTGAGATAACTCGGCAGGAATGTTGTTCAGATTGTGATTATCATTCAGGTAAAAGTCGCGGAGACTGGACATATTGCCTGCAAAGCAAAAAAACATTAGCGTCAATCAACTCAGTTAAATTCCATAATACATCACGCAAACCACTGTGAGAGGAAGCACAAGTCCCCAAAGGTAATGCCATTGGCCTCGGTAACCTTGTCAGGCTTGCTCTAATTTCTAGCTAAAATGTCCGCATTGAAAAGGCGCAACCTATTTTCAGTTAGCATGATTCCATAAATCTTGCAATTTATTCTTGACCATATATAAGGGCTGTGGAGAAACAAAAGAGA